GAGTAGAACGGAGGTCTACGGTCCCGGAGTAAATTTCGTTGGGAGTAGGGCGGCGGCGTACGGTCCCGAGGGAGTAGAACGGAGGTCTATGGTCCCGGAGTAAATTTCGTTGGGAGTAAGGCGGAGGCCTACGGTCCCGAGGGAGTAGAACGGAGGTCTATGGTCCCGGAGTAAATTTCGTTGGGAGTAAGGCGGAGGCCTACGGTCCCGAGGGAGTAGAACGGAGGTCTACGGTCCCGAGGGAGTAATCTAGCTTTCTATAAAAAAAATAAAAAAAATAAAAGTACACTGTCAATTTGTTAGCGATTTCTACTTCTCATGTTCCTAACTTCAAATAACTTACAAATGTGTCTAATAAAACTTTCAATTACGTCCAATTTTAAGAATTTTATAATAAGTTGGGGCTCTTTAACATAGATGCTCCAACTTGAGTGGAAGTATTTATTATAGGAAAACTTCTATTACAAAAATGTTATTTTTGGAGAATATTTACATAGAGGATATTATTTTTTTTATCAATCCTATTTAAATTGTACCACTCTTTTTATTTTCGTTTGGTCTTTCTCTTATATACATAATTATAAGCCCCCATAATCTATCAATTAGAATACAAAGAAGATGACACACCAATACAGTATATCAGAAGGATAGCTTCTCAACACTTGCTTAACCATGGAGGCTTCATGAGAAAAACAATGACAAAACTCCCGACAAAAAAGCAACATAATTAAACAAATCCAAGAAGCCTTTGGGCAACATAAGTCCAACTATGACAAGAGGTTGGACCCAATATAGTACTTGCATACCCATCCCAAAAGTTTCTATTCCCAAAAGTAGGGGTCTAACATTCAAAACTATTATGTCAATCAGTTTTTTCTTTGTGCGTGAACAAATGGCCTGCTATTTCCTTCTCTATTTACATTCAAGTAGGAAATTTCTTTGCCATCTCACCAATGAAGATTTTTGATATTTTTATGAATATGATCTGCTTTAAAATCTTATTTAAATAAAGAATAAAGAAAAAAAATTAGATGTCTCTATGTTGCACAGATCATGATATATCAATTACTTGCCATTGGGCTATGTGGTATTGAATAAACAAAAGGATCCTTAGAAGAAGCACTATTGCTCTATTCAGATTATAACCAAATACAACATAATAAAAGTTAGATTATCAATCTTTTGTCTATAAACTAGATTTATCGATTGGAATATGAGTTACGTATTGAAATATCTTTTCTAAGGAACCTAGAACAAGTTGGATGTCCCTCTATCCATAAATCACGGGAATATAATTTCAATGAAACATGGTTTTGGCATGTGTAGCAAGGAGTCCTTTGGTTATAGCATGGAAGGAATGAAAGAAACCCTTCCTCCCTCTATCTATCTATTTATCAATGCCACCTACGCACATGTCTATGCTTGCACACATTCTCTCTCTTATCCTTTCCATTCCCACTTCACCCAATCTAGCAATTGATGGATTAGGTTGAAGTGGGATGTTCATTAACCCACCATTCATTGTACTCACTACCCCCAATAAGCACTAAGGGCATTTAATCCATAAATTAGTGTAAAAAATGTCTTGCAATAAATTAACAACTTTGAAGGATATCATTAGTAATGAATAACTAGTTTGTTTATTCTAATAATAATGAGAATAAAAAATATTGTTTTTAATAAACTAATACTTATCTAAGATTTACAATAGACGATTGAGCTAAAAAAAGGCCTCAACATTATTTCCTAAACAATGAAGCTTCAATTGAAAATTCTGAGGGCAATTGCATGTTACTTTCGAAGCACAATGACTCTCAATGTTTGAAATTAGTTTGTTAGTAGAAAATAAACAAGAGTCAATTACTATGAAAATATCATAGTATATAATAGTGGAGTGAACATGGTCACATGATAATAATTTAGAAAACAAAAAAAAAGCCCATGATAGGGTGCGTATTAGAAATATCCTTGCAAAACTCCAACGATCCAATTAGAAACAAAAATAATGTCAAGCTTATCTAACAATATTACTTGAAACATGAGCTGAATGAAAGTGTGACATATTAAAATCTTCAAAGTAGGTGAGGTTGAAAATTAGCTTGAAAAGTATCTCTTTTGGGTGCAGCGTATAGAATTTACAACTCAATGCAATGCACCATTAAGGGTTTAATGCAACATATGGATACCAACATTCAAAATAATTTTCTTGAGTGCCCAGCTGTTCAAGATCATGCTCGATCAACATCATATAGGCATGCTATAACTCCACGGTAATTTCTAAGAAAATTACAATGGTAAGTTTTGCCTAGGAAGTATGATAGTATGGGAATGGATGTAAAGTAATTTAGTACCTTAAACAATCCCTAGAACCAAACAGTTCAAGTAAATAGCATTTTACCATAAACAAACTATGGCGCGATTGTTTGTTTTGACATCTCTCAAGCATAATCTTTATTGATCTTAGTGAACAATATAAACAGGAGGTAAATTAAATAAAGTGCATTTAAAAATTCTATGGTTGTGGTTGTCAAGTGTAAATAATAACTTCAGCTGTGCCTATGTATACTCTATATTTCTCAATTTTCAAACTAACATAAATTTAGCCAAATTTTATACATAGGAAAAAGAAACTCCATTCAGAAATATGAGCAATCCTAATTAGCGCAAAAAGACTAAACCTGATCTCGTATGGTATGCCATTTCGAGCATCTTGCAGATACAGATCGTCCATGATTGAGAAGTATGAATGAAAGCAAACATCATTCACATCTCTAACAACCGTACAGCTTCCCCTGATTGTACTCCAAGTTCCATCCTATAAATTGAGAAAAATTCTCTCAGGAAGAGTAAACGCGTTAAGATAAAAACTGAAAGTGCAGAGCACAAGACCAGATATGAATGCAAAACAACATAATTAAGATTTTACCAGAATACAATGAAGAAACTTATCTTCTCTTCCTTCCCCAATAGCATCAAATGTAGCCATTACTGGCATCAAAAAGCCATACCCTGCTCCAGTTAGGACACTCCCCAAGATACCCATCAATGGCCACAAAACTAAAGCAATAGATACAGCAACAGAGAGTACAAGTTTAAGAACAGGTCCTAGCTGTTTGGCCCTGTGAACCAAAAAGGAAAAATTAAGGTGCCATTACAATGGATGAACCCACAAACTGTTAAAAGAAACGCTAAAGAAAAGGAAGGAGAAGACGCTAGTTAGATCTAGGATCAGCAGTTCACCTTCCAATACAATAAAATGTCCAAAATGCATGTGCAGGCCAAAGACCCAAAATGATAGCAGAATTGCCCGTAGTCATGATAAGACAGACAATGGGGCAAAGCAAAACACCTGAATTAGGAAACTCCAGATTAATGAAAAAAAAAATTTAAAAGACAAGTATTTGCACACGGAAAAATACATATGCAAATAATTCATTCATTCTGTAATCGAAAGAAATACGAGAAAGATTGGGCATTAAAATGAACATGTATCAAAACACAATCCCAATCATAGATGCTATATTTTAAGCAATTGAAAACACCATGCACTTCTTCTATGATTCCATTGAAGGAACCACAGCCACTTTTCACTAGACCAAAGGAGAAGTACGCAAACAGAAAAGCAGAATAGAAGCATATAATTACGATATGACCTCTAGACAATATGTAAAAAGTTTGTCCAGAATGGGTAAAGATTGGTTATTACTAAGCTGTTTGTCTGCAAGTTGTGGCAGAAATAGCTCCAGTTACTTTTAGAGCAAAAATTACAAAACAAATTACAAAAAATGTTACAAACCAGCTCAAGCGATGGAAATGCATCTCTGAATCTACCAAAGAAAGAAAGGGAAACTGACCTTTAATGCTGCCCAGAAGTAGCAGACCCAGGAAGAAGGGCAAGAAGTAGAATAGCCTCCAAAGAGTCGACCAAAACCCCCTTGGAGGCTCCATTGTAAAAAGAAATTTTACAAGAAAAATATTCCTTCCACAATTCTTTCTCAAACCCACATCAAAATATCGCAAAATAAAGTTCCCCTATCAATAGTGTAAAATCCCTACTTGAGCCGTCGAACGCACACGTATCCGACGATCCAAACTTCAATTTTGCCAAAAAAAAAAGGCTCCTTTCCCACTCACAGTGCTTCGAGAACCAAAATCCCACTCGAAGAAGTAAAGCGAGTACTCGTCTGCAAAAGTGGGACATACGTCGATCAAATGCCGGCTGCGTATTAAGCAAGAAAATGGCCAGGCATAATTAAACGCAGATCCAAGCGGCATGAATGGAACACCTTCGAAGAGACGTAGACCGAACTATATTCGATTTGGTGAGAAAGAAGGAACCTAGAGCGCATGTGGACGCTCGCTTTGGAGAGCAAAAACCTTTCCCTTGCACAATTTTCGTTTGTTTATTCCATCCATCTAATAACAATGATCACGTGCCTCGTCACTTTCCCCATGTTGCGAACTAGGATGGCGAGAACATCCCTGAATTATCAACCTAATTTTTTTTAGAGCAACAATTAAAAAGGGATTTACCTAAAAAATAAAAATAAAAATAAAAATAAAATTAGAACATCCAATAAATTTAAATATTTATATATATGCTATTTAAAATTTAATATTATTTTATATAATATATGGGTTTTTAACATCACACAATCAATGTCTGCTATATTAGAAGTTTTGGGTGGCATGTATATAAGACCCCATATATATAAATAATGGTTCTACCGCGACACCGGCTCAAAGACGATGCCCTGGTGGAATTGAAGGTGGTTCAACGGCAGCCAGACGACCAAGGCCAAGGAAAGGTGGCCTGGTGATAGCAGCAGCTCGACGATGATGGATGAGCAGCGATGTTCAGACGGTGGTGACGGCTCTACCGTGGTGGCCAGACATCTTTGGCGGTCAGTCGGCGGTGGTATGGTGGTGAAGACAATAGTTCAAAAGGAAAATTAATAAAAATGATGAAGAATAATAGTTCTTCTGAATCAGATATTTTTTTCTACACAAATAGCATGAGAAGGAAAGAAGGTGAAGCCAATGGGATGAAAGCAATAAGTACGAGGCCTTCACGTGTCAATGGAAAAGAAAGACATTGGAGAAGAGGTCAGGGAGGGTAAAAAATTAAGCTTTGGAGAAGAAGATGATTATAAGGGGGCAAAGAGTTTTTTAGCACCCGTGACAAATTCATGAAAAAAAAATGATTTTAAAATTTTGGACAACATAAATTTTTTGAGTATTTTAAAAATTATTGTGATATTAGCTTTGTATTTCATATTTAAATTCTTTTAAAATTAATTGTCGTTAAATTCTAAAACAACATGTTAAACAAGTTGTTGAGTCCAAAAATATCAGGGAAACACGCCTAATGTATAGAACATCATAATGAAAAGTGAGTACAGTAGGAAATAGTTGAGATTGTGTGATATTTATTCATGATATTAACCCCTATTTATAGGAATAGACCCAGATTTACAAAATTTCAGGTTTACCCTCTCATCATTGACCTTTCAGAGATGTCTTTTAGAATTTTACACAAATATTAAATGCAATATGACCAATTGGCTCATCTAGTCGGGAGATGCGTGTTGATCGTTTGTTCCATGTTTACTCAGTCAATTTTTCAGTTCAGGGCAGGATTATCTAACGACCGGCTTCAATAAAAGGTTGATCGTCGTTCCAAGGGACAGTTCCTCGATATGCTTTGTTTGATTCTGATTTCTTCGATCATCAATTTCATGCTTTCCTTATCGGTCAATGCTCCGTCAGACCTTTGGTAATTGTCCGTCGTTGATGTCCATGGACGATCGCTCTTGTAATTGGTCGTTCTTTTATGTCTTCTAGGCAATCTAATTATTTCGAGATTCATACATACGTATTTTTTGTATACATATTTAATTCCCCTGATTCTCTTTCTTTTGCAAAACTATATAATACATAAAAAAATGAATCTTTTTATTATTATTATTATTGTTACAAAAAATTTTAAAAAATTTACATTTTGAATATCATTATTACTCAATAAATGACCTCCCCAGACTTTTATGCCCAGTCATTATGGAGTATTTTTATAGTCATAACAGATTTTCGGCATCTTTTCAATATATATCTTTTTATCGGAACTGGTAGATTGTCTCGAGATTCGTACAGACCATTTTTGGGTATACATATCAATTTTTTCAATTTTTTTTTTTGTTAATAGCAACAACTGCAATAAGGACAAGAAATATTTTTTTTAAAATAACATGATTACATGAATCACTGAAAATACTTAATGTTTAGGCGCTCTCTATGCTCTGTTTTGACATCTTATGTGCTATCTCACCAGTTTATAAACATTTTTCTGTGAATAACTATTTGGTCTATGTTGCATTGAGATATTTACTTATATTGATTTTATTGTCTATGTTCACTGCTGACCCGACTCCAAGGAAATCGTCGGTCATGATATCATCCAGCTTGAGTTTTAATTCTTACCCATCCCATTTGCTAGGTTGATCCATAGGTTACTTGCTCATCCCGAAGTTTTTAGTTCACTCGCCATTGGAGGGGAGTTTTTTGTTTGCTCACCCGTAGGGGAGTCTTTTGTTTGATCGCTCCGAAGGGAGTCTTTTGTTTACTCCTCCCGGAGAATATTTTTTTTCTTCGCCCCGAATGGGAGTTATTTATATGCTTGCCCCAGAAGATGATTTTTTATTTGCTTGCCATAAAGGGGAATTTTTTTATTTTTGCTCATCCTAGAGTGAACTTTTTTGTTTGCTCACTCTGAATGGAAGTGTTTTGTTTGATTGACCCGGAGGGGATTATTTATTTATTTATTTTTTGCTCATCCGATAGAAGAGTTTTTTGTATGCTTGTCCCATAAAGACGAATTGGGAAAATAAATAAAGTAACACAGAGGGAATATAAATGGAATAACACACATAAAATTGCCTTGTAAGAGCGAACTAGGGTATTCTGAGCTAAACACAGTCATAAATAAGAGAGTAATAGCTCATTGTCCTCTTTTATACATAAAACATTAAGAAGGAGAGAGAGTTCTCCTAACACAAGAAAAGTGGAGCATGTCTTTTAGATAATATAGACTTCTTATTTATATGATAAAAAAAGACCAAATCTAAAATTACATATTTGCCCTACTTTAATGGGAGAGTTACACATTAGTATCTTTTTATTAATGTCCCGCTTTGATATGATAGTTAGATGTATTTATTATGTCTTTTTATTGTCTCCGCTTTAATATGAGGTTAGCGATTTTTATGATGACTTTTTATAGTCATAACCAATTTTGTATATTTTTTCTTAGATTATTAGATTGTCTCGAGATTCATGCAAACTGTTATGGGTGTACACAAAGTCATTTACATGAATAAAAAAAATTACTTATGTTATTTTTTTTAATTATTTTCATACAAAGGGTGGTTTAGTAATTAGTAGCTTAAAAGTTTATGAGAGTTGCCCATAAATATTTTTCACCTTCGATGAGTTGTAGGTTTCTTAGTGATTATCTTAAATAAAATTATATTCAGCTGTGGTAGTTTGTTAACTGATTTAAGTTGAACATTTTTAGGCTAGAAGTTTATTTTTTGATTGATATGAATTGAGTATAACAAATCACGACTTCAATGTTTAAAAGAATGATTATAAGATCAAAATCTACTAGCTCTTACTGATATACGAGCATTTAATTTAATCATAGAGGAATTAACTTAATTGCATATGCTGATCTCAATTGTTTTATTTTTACTTCTAGCCCCAACTCACCAATAATATATGTCGTTATAAGTCATTTGTTGAGTTAGATTCGCCAGTTTCAACCTTCTTAGAAAAAAAATATTAATTTTAGTATTAAGTTAATAATAATAAAATTATTGATGTTGTTAAAGAAAATAATTAATTTTGTAGAAGGAACCGATAACAGGGTTCTGTGAAGGGTTTGTTAGGAGGGGAACCGCAGGCAATCCACCAACGACTGGCGGCTTCCATTTTTTTTTATATATATAAGTTTGATTTTTGACTAACAACTAAATTATTCTGTAAACTGCAAAGATTTACAAGTTCATCAAATTATTATGATAGTCATACCGCGTTCAATCCGCCGTCGTCCAGTCTCCTGCTGTTTCCTCATCTTCTTCCGTCTCTGACCAAACACGAGCTGTCGCGGCGGCTTTATTTCTTTTCTCAGGTGCTATTCTTCAACCTACTCTGCTTCGTATGGTCGATGCTAGATTTCTCAGCGCACGCTCTCTCACTTATCTTTCCCAAACCAGAAACATAGGGACATCAGCACCCCTATTTGCTGTCTTATTTGTTTTGGCGTTTGATCTGAAAACTCTTTTGATTTGATTCAAAATATTTCTCTGGTGGTCGATTTTTTGGTCGAATCATTTGTTTGATCGCCTCTTGATTCGAATTCTTTTCCCCTAAACAAATGATAAATCAACTTAAGTACAGAGCCCTTTGTGATGAGGAATAAGGAGCAGGTTTTTATAAAAATCAATGTCTGATGCTTGCGGGTTTTACCCCATTCGCCACGATTAGCCGACGCTTATCTGAGGAGAACACACGAACTTTACTTATTAAGATCTTCGAGATCCTAACTGTATTGATTATTTTGGCTGTTTGACATTTCAATCTGTTTACCTGATAACCGTTTTGATTTTTTTTTTAATTTTTTTTTGTTGACATAACGATGATTAGATGGATACCTGTTCTTTTCAATTGCAATTTATGTTGCTATGAGAGCTCCACTTCCGCAAGCTTTGAGTTCTGATCTAACATACGGGATGTGTATGTTGACATGTTTTTGACTTGATGGTAGTTTTTGACATTTTTCAATACAGGAAGCATGCGTAGAGGTTCAACTTTATTTAGATTTATTTCTTTGTTTAGGCGCTTGGTGAGATGTGGAGTCTAATATTTTTGGATTTCAAAAGTTTGTTTGGATTATTGTTAAACTCGAGCCATAATATTTTCAACTAGTCCGCTCAATCCCACCTCTTATTGTTATTGATTCTTCAGTTGGTTTGAGGTGTTTTGGCAAGGAGTTTGCTGTGCTTGTCTCAAGGCTGGTAACAGGGAGATTCTAGAATCATGCATATCAGAAACTGAAAGAGCGGGGGCGGCAAGCTCTTTGGCTAGCTGTAAGAGCAGCAAGTTGTCAATTAAATGCCTCAAATTATTATTCATCGACTCCTCCTAACTTAGATTAGTAGATAAGGCTGGCACAATATTAATCCCATTTTAAGTTGAAATTAATTTTAAAGGAGAAGGAATAATTTCCAATTTAAATTTAAATTCCAAAACTTTCCGAACAATAACCATGCAAATCTATCCTTCACAATAACCTGCCTAAAAATTGTTCCACCAAATTCCGCATGAAGACCCTTGTTAGCACTATCACTTCCATAACAAATGAAGTCACTATATCCACATTACATAAAAAGCAGTAAAATGGCAAACTGAAATAACCGTTTAAGATATGAATTGAGCCCCAAAGACATTGTCTAACTCTCAAAACTCAAATCAAATTTCTACAACCTGAAAGGAATATAGTTGCTATGAGGATAAAGCTAAATCCGACTATAACCATCACTCAAAGTTCAATTTTCTAAGAAAAAACCATGGTTGGAATAGGGAGGCTATTCCAGGAAAAATGTTTATTTAAGATTATGAAGGACCATATTGTCAAGGTAAGGTAGGAAGCAAGGGCTGTGGTAAATTGATTTGATAGGTTTACTATTGATTTATTGAGGAGCTGCAAAGCTTCAATTAACTCTTATGGAAGATTGAGAGAGGCTGCTACAAAATAATGATTGCTTTATGGCAGTATACCATAAATTATTTAATGGATTTTAACGTTCCATATTTTCTGAATTCAAAAGTTTGTTTGGATCTAGCTAATTATTCCCAAATATTGGGAGAAGTTGTTGTTGAGGCTAAATCCAAGCTGATTTTTTAAGTCAAAGTTTGTTCAGATTTGATACAACTCAAGTATCATAACATTCTCACCTTATATAATTAATCTTAACATTTGTCTCTCTATAAAAGGGATGATACTTTGGTTGATTGGTGTGTCACATAAGGATCTCAGTGGTTGAAATTTAGAGGCATGGCACTGATCCTACAAGTGCTTAGAAGTATGCGCTTGTAGGAAATGATGGTAGTTTGCATCAAAGCGATCCGACAAGAGTTTGGTGTGCTTGCTTCCAACTCTATGGTGATCAGCGAGGTGATCAACAATGGTGTGCAGAGCTCTGATTGATAGAGGTTGTCGGCTTTCTTAAAGGGCTCTAGGCTAGGATTATGATTTACTAGGAGCAGGGAAGCTTCTAGCTAGGTAAAATCATGTTTAGGGAAAAGAAAACTGAATTGTAAATGGAACAATAAGGCGATATTAACATTTTTATGTTACATTTTTGGAGCTTTTTGAATTGAAAGAAACGAAAAATCGCAAAAAGATTGAAGAACACGAGATTTTACGAGGTTCGGCAATTTGTGCCTACATCCTCGGGAGCGGCAATTTCACTATTCCAGAAATGTTCAGTACATACCTATAGGGTTACACATCAAATATATAGAAAAAACTCATAGATAAAATTACTAAAATACCTGTATACCGTACTGTGAAACCGTTGCCCCCGCACCCCCAACCCACTTAACAAAACTCCCCCGATTGGACAGATAGTTCCACTCCGCTGGCTCTGTTCCGCTCCAGCATCTGTCACTTATCTGGTATATGAGCCATACCTTACACTTTGGATTTAGTGTGTGTTGTAGCCGACTGTTGCTTGGAATAATGTGGAAAGTAGAAGAAGTGTGCATGAGAAAATGGGAGAGGAGGTATAAGAAGCAGGAGAAAAAAGAGAGTGATCTTGTGAAATGAAACTAAGAGAAAATATTTGGGGGCCAAATATTTATGACTAATGGAATATCAAAATGACAGGGATGTATGCGGTTTCATAGAACCATGTCTCCCTCCCTCCCTCCCTCTCTCTCTCCCTCTCTTTTATAGAGCTTTTCACTAGTCCTTTTTTCAAGTTATTGCTCTTGCATGAGATTTTTCCCCAACAGGAAAAACCACATTGTTACAGTTTATATTTAGAATACGTGCATTTTGGAACCATGCTTCATTATATGCAAGTGCTTTGCTTCTTTGAGGATGATAATCATGAAAAACCATTCTTTCAAAATTTTGCGCATTCTACTAGCTTAGTTCCCCATTCTAGTTTCATTGCTGCTGTTATAATCTTCATTTGTTAAGTTGCTTAATTTTAGTTGTACTTCAGTTATGTAATGTTTAACTACTACATCTGCCTGTCTGGTCTATACATCTTCCAAATTATTATTAATCTGAATGCAATCCACCTCTTGGGAACTGACTGTGTTTAGCACTCATATTTTACTGTCCATACATCATAGGGAACAGCATGGCCAGCATCTTAGTCAGCTAAATCGGTATGGCACTATTGCCTGTTCCTTTCTACACACTACATTGAAGCGGTAAAGGAAAGCATCGCTGCATTGTTGTCCAGGATGCATGTTTCCGGTGCTAATGAAGGTATTTCTTTAATAGAAAAACGTAATCAAAGAATGGATCCCAAGCACATAAATGCAGATGGTTTACAACGACGCCATCAGCTGACTGCCATGAGGGTTGTAAGGGGCATATCATGCTTAATGACTTTACTTACAACTGCGTGTATGACATTAATCTACTGTGCACCTATATTTACTCTTCTCCTGAGGCTTTTTAGCATACATTACAGTCGAAAATCAGTAGCATTGTTGTTTGGTGCATGGCTGTCTATGTGGCCATTTCTATTTGAGAAGCTAAACAACACTAAAGTGGTTTTTTCTGGGGATCGCGTGCCTTTGAAGGAGCGAGCGCTGCTCTTTGCCAACCATAGAACAGAAGTCGACTGGATGTACCTGTGGGATCTTGCATTGAGGAAGGGTTGCTTGGGGTCTATTAAGTATGTCTTAAAGAGAAGCTTGATGAAATTGCCTGTGTTTGGCTGGGGATTTCAGGTTCTGGAGTTTATTTCAGTCGAGAGGAAATGGGAAGTTGATGAGACATTGATGCAAAGGAAGCTTTCAACTTTTAAAGACCCAAGAGATTCTCTTTGGCTTGCAGTTTTCCCAGAGGGCACTGATTACACGTAAAATTCACTCTTCTAATATTACATTTGCATAGTATTGATAAAGTAACAGTTTTTTTATTTACGTAAACATAGAGGCTGTCTTACGATTTAAAACCTCTTACTTACAGAGAACGCCACCCCCCAACCCCCACCCACAAAAAAAATAAAAAAAAATAAAAAAAAAATCCACATACCTAGTTGTGTTATGTTTCATTGAGTGAAGTGCTTTTTATTTTTCATATAGCCATCGCAGATAACATTTGTTATCATGTCACATTTATTCTTCAAAATTTCACCCGCTTTCTGCTGACGTTTGTCTCAGAGAACAGAAATGCATAATAAGTCAAAAGTACGCAGCAGAAAATAGCTTACCAATTCTTGAAAACGTGCTTCTTCCAAAAACCAAGGGCTTTTATGCTTGTTTGGAAGCTCTGAGAGAGTCCCTGGATGCTGGTTAGTTCATTGTCTTTGTGTCTTTGAAGCTTACATTTCAGTTTCAATAATTAGTAATCATTCTGTTGATTTTCTTTGAGTAATCTCTACAATTTAATAACGCTTGCAACATTATATGCTTTGTTGTTTCAATGCTAATCTGAAAGTGTTAAGGCTGATATTTTGGATTAATTCACTAATCAAGTCTTCCTTGATTTTATCATGAAGGTTGGCTTGCATTTTTTTTATTTGTTGTGATCCTTAATTTTTCACACATAAATATGAACCTTAAGGTATGAAACCTAGGAGATTTATTTTGTAATAAGCTTATAAAATGAGTACCGTCCCTCTAAAAAATGGCCATTATACTGATCTTTTGGAACACAAACATAGGAAGTATTTTATTTTTTACTTTTATTTGTAATTGAAAGAATTATAATTTATGTATTGAAAGAATGATATCTGATTTTAGTGGTTCATAGTCATTCTCAAATGACTGACGCAAATGTGAGGGGACTAAGATTTAGGTGTCCTATTTTTGTAAGGTGTGAAAGAGCCAATGCAAGTGTTTAACGGGTTGAGAATATTAGACAGGGTCAGTGGATTGGAAATATGATGATGTAGATCAAATATATGTTCGAGCTTTAAAAAATTTATTTTGGTTGAGTGCATGGGATATTTATGAGTAAAATTTAAATGGTTGAGTGCATGGGATATTTAGATGGAGAAACTTAAAAGATACAAATAAAATTAAATTTATGAGTAAAATTCAAGATTTCAAAATTTGGGATATTCATGAAGAAGCAAATGTGATGTGGGATAAAGTAACAAACACTATTAAACATGTAGCAAAAGATGTTCTTGGAGAATCAAAGGGAAAAATATTTACAAATAAAAATAGTTGGTGGTAAAATAATAATGTGCAAGAAAAGATAAAATATAAGAAGTTATGTTATAAAAATTGGTTTAAATGTAAAAGCTTAGAGAACTGGAGAAAATATCAAACGGCTCGCAGGGAGTCTAAAAGAACAATCTGTGATGCTAAAAATTCTGCTTTTAATGATCTTTATAATAGATTAGATACTAAGGAGGGTGAAAAATATATGTATAAACTAGCCAAACAAAGAGAAAAGAAAAGTAAAGATTTAACTCAAGTAAAGTGTATTAAAGATGAAAATCAAAAAGTACTTTTCTTAGAAAAAGATATTCAACATAGGTGGGTGAGTTACTTTGATAAACTTTTTAATGAAGTTTCTGAAAATACGATCGAACTTAGTGATTTTAATATCGTAAATAATAATAAAACGTTTCATTTTTACCGTCGCATTAGCAAAAAAGAAGTTGAGGAGGCTTTAAAGAAAACCAAGAAAACAATTCAATAGGGAATATAAAGAAATGTGTTTACTGGAAATGCATTTTTACCAATATTATGATTTGTTGGTATATGTGCTGCAATATCTATAAGTTTGCTTATTTTCTGATTGAAGATCTGGGTTTTGATAGTAGCAGGGCAACTAAACGACTCCATTTTTGTTATTATAGTCTTATTTTCATTTGCATTTCTTATCATTTTACCACCTATGATGTATGATACTGATTGTTTAGTAAACTCTTATAGCAGTTTCTCATGATCATAAAGGGGATATTCAGAAGGTATGAAAGATGGAATCCTGTGCACCCAACAATAGGTTTGTTTTGGGGCGTGGGGGTTGGCATTGGCTGTGGCATTGGATGGGGTCCTGGGTTTGGTCCTGAGGTTATTGGCTACGTTGGTGCTGGCTGTGGTATAGGCTTTAGTGTTGGTGTCACTGTTGCTGGGATTGGGATTGGCCTTCCAGTGAATGGAGTTGAGCAAATCCCACACAATGGTAAATTTTTGCTTTATTTGTTCATGCTTTAAATCATGAGAGATTATGCATTGACTTAGATGCCCTTGAATTTTCTCTGATTTTGTCCACGTTTAAACACTTGATATTATTTGTTGAGTTTTTTATTCTGAGAAGAAACTTGAGCTAGAGAGATTAATTTGCTCTTTTTAGTCTCTGTTTATGAAAGGGTTGCTTTATGTTTCATCTCTTTAGAATGAAATTCATACATTGAGAAGTGATTTCTTATGTTTTCTTGGTTTATCTTGCATCCTTCTGCTAATCTTTTTCTCTTACGAAGCTCAGGATTATATCAGATTCATTTGAATTCTTAAATTTCTAAAGATATCATATGCATTCCATTCAGTGGAAGTGGTTTTAATTTTAAACTGAAAAGATGAATGATATACTTGAAGCACAAATTAGATAGACTAAAAATATGGACAATAAGAATAGAAAGGTTGAGCTACTAAATCACAAGTAGTTTTCTTTTTGAACTTTTTGAAGGAAATAAATTATTTTTGCAAGTTTTGTAGTGTAATTTTACATAAAAGTTTGGGGTGCAATTTATATATAATAGTAGTTATGGATAGAATAAAGTCGTCTTAGATGGTTTGGTCATATTAAACGTCGACCATTAGATGATCCGATTAGGAGAGTAGATGTTTTAAATTCGACTTGTGTTAAGAAAGGCAGAGGTAGACCTAGGAAGACTTGGGCTTATTGTATTAAAAATGATCTTAATTTACAAGAACTGAATGAAAATATGACACTAAATAGGATGCAATGGAGAAAAAGGATTCATGTAGCCGACCCCACGTAGTGGGATTAAGGCTTTGTTGTTGTTGTTGTTGTTGTTGCATTGGATATTTATTGCGTATTGAAAGGATTTGATGCATATGGAAAGGAGATTCAGAAAGTTATGATGATGATGAGGTGGTAGTTGTGGGAATGGAGGGGCGGAGGTTGTGGGTTTTGTAGCTTTTGAGGATGTTGGATTGGTGGGTGTGAGATGATGATGTGGTGGTAGTTGTGGGAATGGAGGGGTGGAGGTTGTGGGTTTTGTAGCTTTTGAGGATGTTGGATTGGTGGGTGTGAGGGAGATAATGAAGGCATATAATATGGAAGATAAAGGAAATAGAGTTAGTGGATTGCAGGTGGATGTTTGCGGTGGCATGTTAGGGTGGATGTAGCTTATGATAAGGGAAAATGTTTTCATTAAAGATTTTATGTCAAAGGATAACCATCATACTCATGTTAGGATTTACATATCAATATCATATTGTTTGGGATGAGTAACCTAGGAATATGAAGGGAGTATAACATGGTACAAGTTTGTGAGTAGCTAGGTTGTCAATGGTATATTTGATGATACGAGGATTCATTATTGGTGATTTTGGTTGGCACTGAAAGGAAAATTTTATAAGACGGTGGTGAGATCTGCAATGCTCTATGGCGCTGAATGTTGGCCTTTAAAAGAGAAGCATAATAATAAGTTAAGTGTTGCCGAGATGAGAATGATTAGGTGGATGAGTGACTTTACACTTAGAGACAAAATGCGGAATGAATATATTCGTGATAGGGTTGGTGTAGCTCCTGTGACAGATAAAATTAGAGAAAGTCGTCTTAGATGGTTTGGTCATATTAAACGTCGACCATTAGATGATCCGATTAGGAGAGTAGATGTTTTAAATTCGACATGTGTTAAGAAAGGCAGAGGTAGACATAGGAAAACTTGGGCTTATTGTATTAAAAATGATCTTAATTTACTAGAACTAAATGAAAATATGACACTAAATAGGACGCAATGGAGAAAAAGGATTCATGTAGCCGACCCCACGTAGTGGGATTAAGGCTTTGTTGTTGTTGTTGTAGTGTGTTGACCCATGGAATATAGGATAGTTTGCCTTTATGGAGGAAGGTGCGGGGTTTTTCAATTATATATCACGATGTTTATGTTTGATAACTCCATTTTATTCCAATATATATGGAGAGCTATATTGGTGTATGATTCCTCCATCGGTAAAAAAAAAATAGTGAAAATTATTTATGGTGTATTCATCTCTTTTCTATTAGAGCGAACTACTTTAATATGGATGCCAAATTGTCATTTGACCATATGGGTGAAGTTTATGAATTTTTATGTTGGTTCAAATTCATTAAGCATAGTGAAATATATAAAAAATGAGAGAAGTTATGGGTGCAAGAGGTATACTATTTATTACATTGAATTGAGGTGATTGAAGATGATTTTAGTACATTAAAGAGGATTAGATGATGACTTTTTGTTGTATTATGAGAACGTCAAAATGCAGAGCTGTGGGCATAGAGTTTGCTAGTATCCGTAGATATTGGAACGAGTCTAGATTTTGGATGGTGGAGATGTAGGTTCCATCGGTTGGCAGTGGAGCTTTGGACAACAAGTCGGGATGATTTGGAATGACAAGATGGATTTGGTATAGTCTGTTATAGCAAGGTTCTTCAAGAATAATTGGATTGTCGTCAGATCCTTAATGAGGTAGCCAATGAAATTGAAGAAACTGAGTAATTGTTATCAACAACAAGATTGTAAAATTATATGAGATTATGGGTGAGTGTTGAAAAGTAGCTTAAGGAGGAGGTTCTTATTGTGAGCAGTGGGGAGATGGTGTGCTTTGTATTGTGGTGGAAATGGAGTTACCATTGAGAATGTAGAGGATTATACCCTTTGTCTCAATGACTGAGCTGACTGCAGCGATGTTGTTGAGGGATTTAACTTCAGAAAGATATTGTGTAATGGTTTGAGATTTCATAGAAAATTGGTGGAGCTTGTTTCTTAGCTGAATCACTTGAGAGTGATTTGTATTTTATAGGCATCATTCCATTTTAGACCGTATGATCTTGCAAGAATTAAGGCTGAGAATGTAGGGAAGGAGAGGGGTGGAGATGGTCAAGCAAAGGGCGATAGTGTGGTTTTGATCAATTAACTTATATTTGGAATAGAAAAGGTTTGGCTAAAGTTTGACCTACAACATCTTGGATAGGTTATGGAATCATTAAGAAGCCCTTTGAAGCCATTTGCGATTAAGATTATAATGATTTGGGACTTCTACGTTCGATAGTACACACCTATAAGATGTGTGTGGACAATGTGTTTGATATCTGGCATCCGAAGCT